AGTGTGGGTGAAGAAGGGTAGAGAGTGGGAAAGCGTGTATCACAAATTACCGGAGCTCTGCAGCCCCTCAGGAAGAAGCAAAGATGGCGCACGGAGCAAGGTACTTGAGCTAACAGAGGGGGAGGTGGTGAGAGGCAAGGAAAAAATAAAAAGAAGCAGAAAAAAAGCAACACCGGCAGCCAACAAATGGCGCTCAGAGAGCCCCGTTTTTACAGTGTGTTGTTCTGAACCATGGCTAGTCAGAAGCAGAGATAGAGCTGGGAAAAGACCTGGTATGACCCCTGGCTGCCTGCCACTGCTGCTGTCTGGGTGATCATGAAGACAGACTGTGGTCCCATGATGGGCGAGAGTCCATTGTGCCCCCCTGCCTCGTGCCCACACCTGCTGGGCCCACCCTCCAGAGCCTGTGAGGCAAGACTGAGGGCCATCACCTGGGACAACTTCAGTCATTGTAAATATTGACCATTTGCTCTGCATCAGAGGACACCTGCTAAGTGAGCTGAAGATCTCCTTACACAAGACCGTCCACGGGCCCCTTCCTGTGAGGGGAGGCAGCCCTCACTCCTAGAAGTGTCAGGCTTGAGAGAGGAGGCTCTGGGGAACGCCTGCTGGCCTCCTTCCTGAAGTGGCTTCACCTTAGGTGCTGAGCAAAAAGGAGTTTACAAATGAAAAGAGCATATAACTCACCCTCAGCCAAACCCATCTCAGGTAAACTGAGAGCAAATGATGTGCAGTGAGTACCCCACGTAGCAGGTGTCCGAGGGAGAACCCGCATTGCCTTCAGCAAAAACCCTCAGCTGTTCCCTGAATAGCTGTGGATGCAGGATCCAGTGGGAAAGCGGGGGTGGCACCCGCGGCTGGAGCTCCATTTTCAGTCAGCAAAGCCATGAGCAGCAGGCTGAGTCACCCTCGGCGTGAGAGGCATGTGCTGCCGAGGGCCAGATTTCCATGCCGAAAGGTTCTGTACCCATCTCAAGTCACATTTCTGCATCTCCAAGGTACTCTGCTTCTTCCTGTGCCACTTTTTAATCAGGCTTCAAGCCTTGTATTGTAAGGTTAAAGGGGGTTGATCCTGTTACGATGTATGGATTTTCCAGAGCCGAGAGGCACATGGGATGTTCCTGTGCTGTCCCTGTGAGGTATCTGAGCTTCACACCTGAGACACACCTGTGCCCTGTCTCATTATCTGTGTGGTCTCCAGGCTTCACACCTGAGACACGCCTGTGCCCTGACTTGTCCCCCATGTGGTCTCTGAGCTTCACACCTAACACATACCTGTGCCTTGTCCCCTTCCTCTGTGGTCTCTGAACCTCACACCTGAGACACCTGTGCCCTGTCCCATCCCTTGTGTGATCGCTGAGCTTCATACTTGAAACACATCTGTGCCCTGTCCTGCCCACTCCCTGAGGTCTCCAAGCTTCACACCTGAAACACATCTGTGCCCTGTCCCATCCCCCCACCACAGTCTCTTGAGCCTGACACCTGAGACACACCTATGCCCTGTTCTGTCCCCATACTATCACAGAGCTTCACACCTGAGATACACCTGTACCCTCTCCCATCCCCATGCTGTCTGCAAGAACCACACATGAATATACCTGTGCCCTCTCCTGTCCCCTATGTGTTCTCCGAGCTTCCCACCTAGAGTACACCTGTGCCCTGTCCTGTCCCCGTGCTGTCTCTGAGTTTCACACCTGAGGCACACCTGTACCCTGTCCTATCCCTGTGCCGTCTCCCAAGCATCACACGTAAATATACCTGTGCCCTGTCCTGTCCCCATGCTGTCTCCAAGCATCACACGTGAATATACCTATGCACTGTCCTGTCCCTGTGCTATCTCTGAGTTTCACACCTGAGGCACACATGTGCCCTGTCCTGTCCCCATGCTATCTCCGAGTTTCACACCTGAGGCACACCTGTGCCCTACTCCCATCACCAAGCCCCAGCCACTCTGGCTTCCGACTCTTTCATAGTGTTTTGCACACCTCCGTCTGTCCCTCCTGCAGCAGGTGCTGCCCTAGTTCAGCCCTGCCTCCCTCTCCTCCACTTCCCCATCCACATGGCCTCCAGTGTCAGGGTCACATTTTTGTAGCCACCCCCCTTCGGGCATTGCTGACTCCCACCACCTGTAGAGTACATCCAGCCCCAAAGACCCTCCCAAGTCAGGTCAAGTTTGCATGTCTTAGCCTTATGCCAGACTGGAGGCTTCTCGAGGGCAGAGTTGGGCCATGGGAGGGCTTAATGGTTATTGCTGGTGGTGAGTCTGGCCTTGCCCTGTTTCTGCATCAGTCACACTAGGCACTCTGTCACTCAGGCAGCTCCTTCAGCCTTCCTTCTGTCCCCCACCAGGTGTGCAGACCCCGCCCATCGTCCGCTAGCCTCTGTTCCTCCTGCTTTTACAGATATGGGCACTTAGCCTTCGGAGGCACCCATGGCTCACAGACGTACTCACAGGTAGAGCACAGAGGGTGGGTTTGGACCTGACAGACCTGACTGAGCTCCCTCTGGATCCCACTCCCTCATCTCACACGGCATGGCAGATGCAGAGTGGCATGATGAGAGCACGTGGCGTGTCCCTTAGAAGACATGGCGCCCAGAAGGCCGCGTGCCAAGCCTTCCCTCACCTTCTCTCACTGTGATGAAACCGACAGACAGCGCTTGTCTCAACACCTGGTGCTGGGATTTGCGGCTGTTTCTCTGGGACTGACATGGGGCCTGTGGCGTGCTGGGGACTTCATCTCTCATCCTCACACTCACAATCCCTTCAGTGCCCCAAAACGACATTTGGTTGCTCTTGGAATTGGTATTGTAGAAATTATGTTTGAGTTCCAGGATGGTACTTCATGCAGCTGAAATGAGAATGTTTTCTGTAGAAAACACCCACGATGTGGCGGTGTTTGCTGTTTCTGCGAAGTGTGAGCGGCCAC